TTATAGCGGTAAATATATACATTAAAAAAGACGAGAAATCCAACATTAACAACTTAACCCAACAATTTGAATAAGTAGGGGGAAAAGTGAGAAAAAGACCAAAGCTACCAGAAGGAGTAAATAATAAAGATCAGAGCTGAAATAAATGAAATAGAAAAATTTTAATAACAGAAAAATCATTTAGATGTCATGTCTTTGAGAGGATCAACAAAATGAGCAAGCCATTAACCAATCTGACAAAGGAAAAAATGAGCTGAAGCAAACAGCCCAAGTAATAAATGAAAGCGGGGATAGAACCAACCGAGATAAAGAGGATTATAACTGAATACTGTAAAAAGCTATACTACAGGGCCACATGGAAGGGTTGATATCTCCTGGGTGCAGTACAGCACTGAGGAAACACATAACTATTCTCTAGTTCTTTAATATTTCCTCCCCTTACTATTATGGTCTTAGTTTTACCTCATTAATCTCGTTAGACCAGCATAATTTCATTTGTATAACTAAGATTGTTTGATACGTGAAATATTAGATAGGTAAACTCTTCAGAAATAGTAATGGGAGTAATGACTCCCTGAGGGTACAGGAAGAGCAATAGCAATGATGATTGTAGAACCCCACTCCAGGGGAACAAATAACAGAATTATAAGTGAACAGATAAAGTGGGTGGTGTAAGATAAAGCAAAATAATAATAATTATAAGTAACAATAAGGGTTCCTGGGGGGTAGGTGGGGAATAAAGAGGTGATATCAAAGAGTCAAGAAGAAAGAAAATGTTTTGAAAATGATGGTGGGAGCAATTGTACAATTATGCTTATCTAATTGAATTATGGATTATTAAAATATCTGTAAGAGCTCCCAATAAGATGATTTTTTTTTAAGTAATGTGCCGAAAAAGTAAGCTATGCTACAACAAATTTCTAGAAACAAAACACTGGCCTAAACTAACTCAAATGCAGACAGAAAATCTAAATAGATCTATTACAAAAGAGAAAGACAATGTCATTAAGCCTTCCCTCACTCCTCCCCACCCCCCAAAACCCAGAAGGCTTCACTGGAAAGCTCTACTAAGCATTCTGAGAAGAGCTGATGCCAATTCTACTCAAACTCTTCCAAAACAGGAAAGGAGGGACTACCCCTGAACTCACTCTATGAAGCCACCAGAACCATGTTACCAAAGGCAGGAGGAGAGCTCACAGACCGCACTCCCTTATGCATACAGACCCCAAACTCTCAACAAAATTCTAACCAACAGGATAGAGCAACTCATAAAAAATAACACATCACCGGATGTGCAGTAGTTACATAATCTGGTGTCACTCTGAGACTATTAAGAGTGAAGGGGTGGAATCTAGCCTGTCAATCAGGTCGCAGCTTGATGACCTCATTTGGTGGTGCTATAGAGATAAATAGCTCACTGGTGGCCAGATACACACTGCAAGACATTCCTGTTGACAAGCCACATGGAGCTACACTGTTGGAGCCAGAGCCCTGGAGCTGGTGGAGCCATGTGGAGATCCAAGCCAGCACTGAGATGCTTCCACCACCAACGGATTCATAAGACTTTCCATCCACACGCCTGTGATCTTCCTGCATACACCATCATTACATGTGTTGAGTGAGTCTGAAGAGGAAATTATAGACTGGTATTGAACATATGGGCTAATAACGGACTTATGGACTTTATCTGAACTGGGCTGGGATGTTTTCTTAATGTACAATTGGTCCTTGATATAAAGTTCTTTCTTATGCACATATGAGTGTCTATGAATTTTTTTCTCTAGTCCACCCAGATTAACACAAGGTGGGATTCATATGAGGTATGCAAGGATGATGGTTCAGTATTAAAAATTCAATCACTAGATGATGCACAGCAGTACAGATGGGAATTGGAAA